TTTTTTTAATTCTATTTTTTAGTCAAATGTCATTTTGGAATTAGACAACAATGGAAGCTTATTTCCTCCTATTTCCTCTATTCAAAGTCCCTTCAATTTATTTTATATTTTTCGACTTTCTTCCTCTTAATCTTCTGCAGAGCGCTATAAGCACGCGCATAATGTTTGGAATTGCATTTGATTGTGGACATATTTTTTTTAATGAATGCACACTCAAAACACAGATTGCTTCACAAGTTCATAAATTTGTGATTTTTGCTCTAATTTTTACTCTTGTGCTTATTTGATAAATTCAGAACGATATGGATCAAAATTATCCATTGAAGAACTCAAAGAATTTGATGTGTTGAAAGATGATTACGAAATCAATTGGCATTTAAATCGGCTAAGGAGTGTCATCAATCCAACCGAGGAGGGAAAAAAATCTAAGTCTGCAAAGATTAGGAATTGGAGGCTTGCATATATGGGTAACTTAATGGCAGGTGAGCAATACTTTTCTGAGGATGCAATGAGGGAGAGAGAGAGCCATATTTGCATCATGAGTACTTGGGAAAATTTCAGGACCTGAGTGGAAGGAGCATGGTGACGCCTGGGGAGTGGTGGTCGGAGACGCTGATGAGGCGATCTGAGGAGGCCATATTAGTGGAGAAAATTAGGATTGAGCAGCAACGATTGGGAGTGGCTGAGAGTGATTGGGTTGGAAATGAAAGAGAAAGGCAAGAAGAAGAGGAGGAGGAGGAAGGAGAAGCAGCAGCTAAGGAGGAGATGGAGAAGGAAAGAGAGGACTTGACACTTGGCTTGGATACTAAAAGCTCTAGGAGTCTTGAGGTAAAATACTGTGTATTTTGATCTCTTCCATTTGTATACTTTCATATGCTCCATTTTTGTATATGCTACATACGCATAGCAAATAAATCTGCCTCTTTTGCTGATTGATTGTGATCCATTAGTAATTTAGTTAAAGTTTCTATTATTGTTTCTTCCTGATTATACTTGTCTTCACATGGGAGTTCTGTTAATATATGTTCTTTTATTTTTATCTCATTTATTGTTACTTATCAGGACATAGAGGTAAAATTGATTTTGTTATGTTTTAAATAAGGGGACTGCACATACAGCTTCCTAATAGACACAAGCATCCCCTAGTAGACTTTTTATCACGATCATGGCTACAAAATATGCCTGCTGGCTTTTGCTCTTTTTCCGGTTGTAGTTCCAAATCCAACTTCTTCTGAAGCAGGGGTTCCGTATGCTGGAAACACCTTTTTTTCTTCTACTATGCTATCATTCCTTATGGTTAAAGCGTTGAGTTTTCAGATTTGTTCTTTGTTATCCTTTAATTAATACCTTTCGCTTTTTCAGGTTGACACAAAGAAACAAGAAATTCATCTTTGTGATTAGTTCCTTACTGATAGCTACCTTAGAAAAATAAGGAAAATACTCGAGATCAGTGTCTCTTAATCTACGCTTTGGCTTTTAAAGACTTACGTATGAAGCAGAATTTTCTATTTAGAAAAGATTTCAATTTCAGGGAAATACTCGAGATCAATGTCTCTTAATCTGTGCTTTGGCTTTTAAAGACTTTCTCATGAAGCAGAATTTTCTATTTGAAAAAGATTTCAATTTCTGATGCCATCATAGCTTTTATAAGATTAGCTTCTCTTGTATCATCTCTCAAACTCCTTACTATCTCTAATTGTCTGTTAATAGTCCAACTGTGCATATAATGTTTATATGCACCAACTAATGTCAATTTCTATGGGTTGAAAGCTTTTGAAAGGAGCTTTTGACAATTCCATTCTTTAATTACAGCCGATTTCAGAAACATTGCCTTTTATGAACATACTTCCATGTTTGTGATCTTTAAATTTCATTTCCCTATTTTCCATTTCTTAAGTGCGAAGTTCCTAAATGAGAGAAATACTGATTTTTTAGTTTTGAGCTGCCTTTTTGTAAACTGAAAAATAGGAAAAGCATGATAAAAACAGTTTGACTTTTTATAACAGAAAATTATTTTGTCACCTCCATGTGAAGCGTAGTGCAATTTTTTTTAGAGAACTATATCATTTATATCTAAAATAAGATGGCAAGCATGTTTTGATTATTAAAATAGGTTGTATGATTGACGCGATTAGTTTATTAGCTTTCTACATTAGGTATGTGAAGTATTTGAGTTCATCTTAGTGCGTCATAGACTCATAGTATAGGCAAAGAATAGATCCTCCGTCAAGCCATATCTGCCATTTGGTTTCCTTTTTATATTACTGGCTAGCGTTTTCATAACTACCTTGACTTACTAGTGTAGTTGGCTTAATATAGATTTTGATACTTGGAGTTGGAGTCCACATATAGATGCCAGATTGCATGGATTTGTGATTGGTTCTCCCCTTTCCAATTTGCTATGAAGATCATGGATGCGTTTAGGAATCTTGACTTGTATTGTTCTAAGAGTTCTGCCTCATTTTAATGAAACAACCGAAAGGAAAATAAAATTATAGATTCTAACCATGTTGTAAGCTGAAAATTATATGATACCTGACTTCTAAAGGAGCAACTCGACTAAGAAGCTGTATTGATAGTTTCGTGAGAAGCTGGTTTCCAGCCAAGTCTTTTTATTTTTATTTTTTATTTTCGAATTCCTGGACATGCTAGATTAGTTGTAATGTGCTCCTTTTAAGCATGTCCTATCTTTGTTAAAATTAGAAAGAATGTTGAAACGTGCATTTCCATAATTTATCTTCTTCAGTTAGTGCAGTTGTTTCGAAAATGTGATCTTATAATTTTCAAATTTACCAGCTACACTCGAACTATGGTGCCTGCAACAACATGCACTCTACAACTGCAGAAACCGTCGAGGAAGATAGCTCATCACCTGATGCGATGATAGATCGGATGGAGCAGTTCACCTCCATCATGCAGCAAAAGTTTTTGTCAGGGGAGGATCATCAGCATCTGGACTACTCTAAAATTGACCATGACGAGACCTTTGACGATCATTGGATGAAAGAAGTAATCATGATGCTGAAGAAAAATACTTTGATGATGTCTGAGAAGAACAGCTGCTACACCTGTCTGGTGTCATATTTTCCTGTCTGGTGTCATATTTTCCTTATATTTTCATTTTATCAAGTCTGTAGAATTCACTTGTTGTATTTATTTAGTTCTTGTTTGTTTTCATATCATATTAAACCTTTCTTGATTGATCTGATCTGATCGGAGGCTTGCTTTTTCTCACGTGCTTGTTCTTGAACTTCAAAATGGCACATGAATAATACAAGAAAAGTGCAGCATAAAAAATGATGTATTAATTAAAAAACTCCATCTCTCTCTCTCTCTCTCTCCAGAAATGGAAGCATCATTTCTCTGTCTACTCTCTCTTTTAGCAGTAGAAAATAGAAGCACCATTTCTCTCTCTACTGTTGGAAGTATTAATTAATTTATTAGAGTAATTTGTTGTCCTGGTCAATAAGATTTTGTTTATTATGGCTTCATGCTTTTCTACGTGTCCCTAGTCTATAGGAAAGTTTGTTTTTGTATGTTGTGTAGTGGCTAGTTTATTGTTTATTAACTGTTGGTGTATTTACTTATAAAAAGACTGTTTATTAGTGATTAAGGCACCAGATTATTACTTCATTTTTTCAATTATCAATTATTCTTCTTGTTTTCTTTTGTCTTCATATAAAAGCTCTACTTTATAACATTGGTATCAGAGCTTGGTTAGAGAGAAAGAAGTGAGAAAGTGAGCTGGTGAGTCTTAGAGACGTGAGGTAGAGAGTCCATCCGAAAAGCAGAAGCATTATCTCTCTCTCTCTCTCTCTCTCTCTCTCTCTCTCTCTCTCTCTCTCTCAAAGAACAACAGTAAACAAATATCATCTGAAAGCTTTC